GGGTTGCCATTGTTGTCTTGTCTACCAACTGCGAGTTAGTTCGCACTTGTCGACACCCTTCGCACTTGTCGATAAACCACATCTTACTCGTTTCGAGGGCATCTAGTTGGGTCACAATATTTCCGAACAGTTATCGTCTTCCCTCCGAACTTCTGTCTTTCCTATCCTTCACCCGATTGTTGTGACTTCGAGTGCATTTCGAACACCCATCTCTTACGTCCTTTTCGTCCTCCATTTCGTTAAGTCCGAGTTCGTTTGCACTTCGCTTCTGTAGTGGTCTGGGGTTGGGCGTATTAGTCATCCGAGTTGGTCTGAGGTTGGGCGTGCGAGTCAACGGGTGGGAATACAATGGCGTCCGCAAAGAACACATCCACAAGCGCTGGACGATCTGCCCCCGGGGAGGGATGACCTGTACAGCAACCTACTCCTCAATATATGCACACAAAGGGAGCACCATGGTTTTTGGACTTCGTTGTTCAGGGGGACCTTTTTGGGCCAGCTGTTTTCATGCGACCCACTTGCGTTACAGACGCTGGGGGAGCGGTCAACGTTGTTCCTCTCGGTACCGTCGTCTTGTGCGCGAAGACTCCTGGAGGTTTGCTCAAGTTGCACACTAACGGCGTGTACGACGAGTGCAGACTGCCTATCAGAGGTGTTAAAGGTGTGCTGGTGACCATCAAGAGTTTCGCGGGGTATGGCTCGAACATGCCTTTGTGCTCTCACTTCAAAGGCCTTTACGATGGCGGCAGCAAGCGTCTTCCATCGCCAGAGCAATATCTCGATCTTGCGCTGATGGTGCCGAAAGAACGTCCGGTTCTTCCTCGAGAGCATGTTTTCCGGCTTCTGCCACCTCGTGAGGGGTCGTCCAGCTTGGCTCAAGAAACTCGAGGTACGGCAGTGGGGCGCGGGAGTCCGATTCAAGACGCTGGGGGTCAGGTCAAGGGACGCAGTGTTCACACGCAGGTCATCCCAAATGCTCCTAGGAACACGTCGGACTTGCATTCTTAGGGTATAGGGACTCAACGGGTCGGTACTCTGAAACTTATCAAGGTCCGCTGCGGCACCGACACGTATTCGCTTCGAGATGAGACGAGAAGAGATTCAAGCAGATCAAGGCTAGATGTTGGATGGAATGAGGCTGAAGGGATGGGCGTTGTTCGCGAAAGCTTTGGCGGGGAGCAGACTCCTTCGGAGAAGAAGAGCGAGCGACAAAGGATGGTACGACAGGAGGTGGCGGAAGGAACCCTCCGCATGAAGAGGATGAGAGGAAAACCAGAGGCGTTGATGGGCGGGGATGGAGGTGGCGACGGAGAACGTGCCTCGGGAAAGAAGCCGACGAAGGAAGAGGGAGGGACGGCAAGTAAGAAAGCGAGGAGGCCCAGCGGTTTGACCATCCGCGAAGGACAAGCTGAGGGTGGAGGAGATTCAGCTGATCCAGGCGCTGCGGCCACGAGAGAACCTTCGGGGAAATCGAAACGGAAAGTGGCAGCTGAAGAAGGCGATGGCCAGAAGAAACCTCGAAGGCGGACGACTGCTGAGGCGGCGAGCGGTGGCGAAGGGCTTGTCGGCCAGGAGTGCGACGAAGTGGCAGCGTTCTGGCTCGAATACGAGCGAAACGATGTCGGTGAAATCGTGGAAAAGGAGCTCCCCGTCCAACTGCTCATCGACCCCTGGAAGGTCTGCGACATCCCGCCTTGGGAAAGATATTACAACCACCGCAGTCTAAGTCGTGAAACTGTGGACGACATCAAGGATGCGATGCTGAGTCAATTCCGCGAGAAGAAGATCTGGACGAAAAACCCTCTCGTTTTGGCACCCATCTACAAGCCGGTGACGCGTAGGCCGGAGCAAGCTGACAGGGTTCACAAAGATGTCTTCAAGCCAGAGGACAAGGACAAGTACTACTATTACCCTGTTAACAGACAACACACCGTGGCTGTTGTGAAGGAGTTGGAGGGTGAGCAGATATTCGATTTGTGGAAGATGCACTCGTGGCCAGCGAGAGTAGTGTGGTTCTCCGACCGAGATTTCGCGGGGTATAGGCAGGTCAGTCTCAACGAAAACACGAGACACAAGATGTCTAAGCAGCGATCGCAGAAGGCCGCGTTCTTGGACATGCGGGAGGCATGGGAGAACGAAGGAAGGTCGATGGCCATTCAAGGGAACCCTTCCGGCAAGGAGGCCGAAAAACAAAAGTTTTTCGATTTCCAAAAGCTGATTTTGGGAAAGAGTCCGAACGAATCTCACTGGGCGTTGTCAGAAAAAGATTTGTCGCTCACCGACAAGGAGTATGTCGCTGCCGTTGGCAATGCATTGAGGCAGTGGATGTCGGTCGTGACGGCCGGTGATGACGTTTTCCGCAAAGTCGTGAAGTTCTACGCGAAATGGGCGGAGGGGAAGTTGTTGGGCGGCGACGGCAAGACGCCATTGTGGAGGCCGGGCAAATACATGCCAGACAAATCTCCGGGTCTGCAAGCAATTCCGGAAATGGGCTTGAAAGGGGCGGCTAGTGAAACGAAGATGGGGTGGCGGGTCCTTGTCTTGCCGCATCCGACCAAAAAGAAAACGCAAGCGGACGACAAATTTTTCATGGTCGTGAAGGAGCCAGACATGTTCTGCTGGCAGTCTCTCGCCAACATGACCGATGTCGAGAAACTGTCGATCCTCGACGACATTCTCGCACTACGGGGAGTGTTCGTGCAATCCGCGGGCAGCCATCTGAAGCGTCAGCATAAACCTGGAATTAAAGACATGGTCGTGACGAGGAAAGTGGACCGTGTGATGCTCCGTATGTTCCACTACATCTTGTTCCTTGAAACGGAGGAGGACGAACGTGTTTGGCGCCACGGGAGCCCATTTTTTTGGACCGAGGGGAAGCTTCTGGAGGAGTTCGGGCCGCAGGACGAAACAGGTGTGGGTCGAAATGCGAAAGCATTTCCAGGGCGCGGTTGAGTACGTGAACACTTGCAAACGTACTCTTCCGCACAAGAAGGAGTCCCTTGACGACGCGAAGAAATTGTACGAGGACGACAGGTTCCCTAAATCTTTCGAAAATTATGTCCGTTCCATCTTGCGACGGACGGAAGAAGAAGTTCGAGACACGATCAGGGTCAGCGGGGATGTGAGGCACATCAAATGGCCCGACCTCAACCGGATGACCAACCTTATTCCTTTCGCTTTCCCGCCTTCCCAAGCTCACAGTCATGTCACTGCGATCCGTGAGGTTGTGCGACATTTCGTGTGCAACCTGTACGTCCTCGATTTGTGTGATCCCACACTCCTCACAGACTGGCGAGATTTCGCCAACTTGCAAGGCCTTCTACAAACACTTTCACCAACGCACTGGGCACTTGTGATCTTTTTCCCCTCTCGTTGGGAGGTCAGTTTCTTGAAAGGCATGGACAGGCTTAGCGTCCATCACGTCAGGACAGGGAAGTGGGTACGTAATGCACAAAAGCAGACCACTGTCCGGGAAGGCAATATGCTGGTTGCGGAGTGTGACCGCCTGTACGTGATTTTTGATGGCGAGAAGCTGGAAGACAACACATTCGCAGTCTACCCGGCCAGTAGCCCGACAAAGGCTTCCCGTGCTCATGGTCCAAGTCTGGCCAAACACACACGGTGGCAGGCCCATCAGGACAGGCTGTGGCGTGTTTCGACGTGGCGGAAGAGGAAAGGTTCTCTCGTAGCATGTGGGAGGACGGCGGTGTGACAAGTTCTCAAGGACCTGCTTACGGGGAGATGGAGCGGAACCCGTCCCGTCTACTTGGTCTACTCGAAAACTTTTACAAAGCTGGTCAAACTGTTTTTTTCTTTGGGAAGGCGCATGCGTCTGTCGTGTGGGAACTCCTGCGCACCGATCGGAACGTCGTCGCGTTGGAGAAGGAGGCCAAGATGATCGATTACCTTCACGAGTTTGTGAAGGCACGCGTTGCAGACACTCGCAATGCTTGCGAGTTTGCATGGTCCACCGGCGAACGAAACTGGGATCCCAAACGTGACATGTATTGGAAATTGTCGGGGAACAAAAGGACGGACGTTTGGGACTTCCTTTTCGGACCCGGACCGCTTGGTCCGACCGACCTCGAATACAGTCGACGGAGAAAACTGGTGTTCGTTGTGCTCAATGGGTACCACGGTGCACCCAGGGAGTCTGTCTCGCACTTCCTGAGAAGGCTGGAGCACGTTTACTTCACGCTGGCCGAACCGCTCACTCTCGAAAACTACAAGTCACAGTTTGACGAGGAGGACCCTTTCGACGCTGAAGACATGGAGGAGCTGAGCGACTCCGAAACCTTCGATTTCGAGTCCATGCCACTTCCTCGGGTGGTTGGACAGGTTGGTGATGAAGAGGAAGGTGGCCCTCGGAGATATAGCACGTCCCATGCCGGTTTGAAGCGTGTGTTTCGGGGCGAACTAGTCGACGACCAATCGTCTGATGACGGGGAGGAAGAGAGAGACTATGATCACGAACCTTGTGACAGGCTCCCTGTGGACCATGACATCTGGCAGAATGACAGACTTTACTTCTTCGGCAAGCATCACCGGTTCACGTCGGAGGATGTCTGGGGACACAACGTTGTCTGGCACCCGAGTATATTCCAACCTTCTGTGAGGAATGGAATATGGGTCATGGCAATAAAGGAGGCCGATGGCAAGTGGAGTGGACTGAAGAGACTGGGAGCGGGTGCATTTAAGAGAAAGGCAAGAACTGCTCTGGTGGAGCATTTGAGTCTCATGAACCCCGAGAGGAACGATCAGGACGTCGATGAGTATGCAGAACAAAAGCTACATGAGTTGTACGCCAACAACATGTTGGAGTTTCGAGCGCCTTTCTACGCACTCGAAACGGCACCGTCTCGTGGCATTGACTGGTGCATGCCGCAACCTCCGCCGGCCGGTCAGCATCCGGGAGGGGGTGGTGGAGGAGGCGAAGGAGACGGCGGAGGTGGCGGAGGAGACGGCTCACAGTTTGCCGGAAAGGGGATGGGCGAGACATCGTCGGTTGAGAAGGCGTCCGGCGGAAAGGGGTCGGGCGGAAAGGGGTCGGGCGGGAAGCGGTCGGGCGGGAAGGGGTCGGGCGGAAAGCGTAGAACGTCCGGGAGTCCCCAGTATATGGAAACTGACCCCCACTGCGTAGGGAGTCGAGATTCCGACATGCGAGACGAGGCCACCCTGACGTCTGATCAAGTGCGAGTAGATTCGCACTTGTCTGCGAGGAGTTTGTTTCCCGTTGCCCAGGAGAGTCCATCCCGCCGTGCGCAACAGAGGTCTCCTATGCTCAACACCTTGCTCCTGAAAGAGGGTGCGTCTTCGTTTTGCCTGGAGGGCAGGATGCTTGCATTGCAAAGGAGCGAAGGTGCGACCTCTGGTTCCCTCGGCTCAGGCGACGGCCACAAACTCTGAATACATTCGGATTTGCTGACGTCGCCCTCCGCCATAAGTGCTCCTCACGCAACAGTTTCGCGGGGCCAAGAAAATGTGACGTCCTGGCCCCCGCATCTTGAGTTGGACACAGGGTTATCATGCTCGCCTCCCTTCTCATGTGTTATGACTCGAGACTGGCGGTCTCGCGACGTGCTGGAGGGGCCCGATCCAGGAGTGTTGGAGACCGTGGGTAGCGAGAACGAACGTCACACTCCTGGGGAAGATGAGCGCTCTCCGGGAACGCGTGCTGTACATCGGGAAGAGGGAACTCAACGCTGGCAGTCTCCCAAAGTGTTGGAGACCGGGGGTAGCGAGTGTGAACGTCATGCTTCGGAGGGTGCGTCCGTGGACACTGACAGCGAGAGTGCAGGAGCTCCGGGGGAAACGCATGCTGTACAGCGGGGAGAGGACACTCGACACGGGCCAGCTCGTGAAGACGTGAAGTGGCTCCACGCACGAGCGCTGGTGATCGGGACGTCCGAAGTGGTTCGGTACAGTCGCTCGGCTGTGGCCACGACGCGAGAGGGTGTCGTTAAGGGAGGTCAGTGGACGTCCGTGCAAGCTCCCGTTCTTGGCGACGATGAAGACGAAGAAGAACCCGCGGTGGAAGCTCGGGTTCATGGCGATGAGAAAGGCGGAGAACCCGTGGTGGAAGGTTGTGAGGTGACTGCCAACATCCGAACGGATCCACAGCGGAAAGATGGTGATTCTTCGCCCACCCGTTGCGGTGAAGAACAGGGTGGTCGAGCGTCTGTCGTGAGCACCGCTCGGGGAATGGTGCTTCGTGAAACCATAGAGTTGGGTGACGACTCGGCAGCCACCGAGCTGGTTAGCGACTCAGGCATGGCCGAGATGCAGAACGTCGAATCCTCCGTGGAAGGCGGTGAGGTGGTTGTCAGCATCAAGATGGATCCAGAGAGGAAAGATCATGATTCTCCGTCCACCCGTTGCGGTGCCGAACAGGGTGATCGAGCATCTGTCCTCAGTACCGGTCGGGAAATGGTGCTTCATGAACCCATCAACTTGCCAAGCGACTCAGCTGCCACCGAGCTGGTTAGCGACACGGCCATGGCCGAGGTCCAGAACCTCGAATCGTCCGTGGACGTTGGCGCAGTGACGCGACAGGAGGGCGAGTTCCCTCAAAGGAATCCTGAGCACGGTAAGATTTTTGAATAGGACCACTCGCATATCTGTTATTGGCCAGCTCTGTGTTCGTCCAAATTGATGTCACGGCCTAATGTACCTGTTACCACTAGTTAAAAATAAGCTTGTGGGTTGTGGGTTGTTTTCTATGTTCTACAGGTGTGAGGTTGTTAATGTCCCTGCCCATGAAGCCTTTAAAAGCCGTGCATGAGAAACATCTTTCAGGGAGGTCATTGGCCGCTTCACCGAAGAAGTCGTCAAGTGTATGGTTGTTTAAAAGGGTCCAGATGCCTCGCCTTTCCCAGAGAGCTGTCACGGTTCTGAAGGTTTGTGGAATAGATAAGGAGGAAGGTCTGCGGAAACATTTGCCTGCGTCTATTGAGAGCGTTACTGGTTTGTCTGGCGGGTATGATGACGATGGCAAATGGGGTGTCTTGAAAGACCCGTGTCCTAAGTACATCGCGAAGGACACATTCAACAAACGGGGATACAACTTTTCTGGGAAAAGGGCAGATAGTTCTTAGATATTCCACCACGGGGTTTGTGCTCACTCCTCACACTTGTTCGTGGGTGTTTGTGCATCTGGGGCTGCATCATGTTTTCGCGTTCCGTTGCCTACTGAGGAGCTTAGCGCTACGGACTTGAGAATGTTGCGGAACGTCTGTGGAGATTACAGCAACGACCACGAGGTGGTGTGCTCGGTTCGCAAAGGGGTCAGTTAAATTCCGTTGAGCAGAAAAAGTCTTCAAACTCTTGTTCAGGGGGAATGGCTTTCCGACGAGGTGGTGGAGTCGTACTTGGCCTTGCTTGCCAACGCTGCGTTGCCTGAGGGTCCCTCTCTTCACATTTTCAGTCCATTTTTCTATACCAAGCTCGTCCGTGGCGGCTATCGGCATGATAGGGTTGCGAGATGGACAAAAGATATGGATATTTTCTCGCACCAGATGGTCTTGATTCCTGTCCATAAACATGAAGTGCATTGGACCCTGTTGTGTCTCCAAGAACAACGGCTGGAGTACCACGACTCCCTCGTACAAGACGATGGCGGTTTTTCTTCCGATGTGATTGCGAACTTCACGCAATACCTCCGTGACGAAGCACTTTGTCATTATGGTACAAAAACGAAAGTGGATCTCCAGGAGCCCAAGGTGGTTGTTCGTGATGTCCCTCAACAATCAGACGGGTCGAGCTGCGGTGTTTTCATGCTCGTCTTCACTTCATTTCTTACACGCGGCTGTCCGCCACCATTTTCGATAGCCCAAAGCGACATTCCAAACATCCGGATGAGGATTGCGGTAGACATACTCCAATGCGCTGAATGATACCACTGTTGTAAAAACACGTGTAGTTTTTTTTTCGAAATGCCATAAGCAGAAGTGCGAATCTATTCCCACTTGATCTAGCAGTCAGCCGGTTCGAGCTGTGCTGTTGTTTTCATGAGGTGCCGGATTGCAGTGGACGTTTTGGTCAAGTACAGGCTTAGGTGTCGATGTGAATATCCCAGCCTTGTGCTGTATCAATTTTCTAAGGGTTCTTCATTACGTGGAACCTGTCATCTTTACTCGTAGGACTTTCGGCAGCGCCGTGCTTCCTTTGTTTGTTTTCGGGTTGTTCTCATTGCTTGCCGCACAACATCAGCTAGAGGTTAGCAGCGGACGCTTACGTGAAGTAGAAGCTCAGATGCCGATGTAAATATCCCAGCCAAGTGGTGCAGTTCCTTTTAAGAAGACGCTTACATATCGGATGTGAATATCCCAACTTCGTGTTCCTTTTGTTTATTTTCGGGTTGTTCTCCTTATGTCCTCTCAGACCGCGGCAGCACCGTGCTGCGTTTGTTCGTTTCGAGGTTGTGCTCCTCTTTTACTCATGTGAAAGATATCGACGATTTATTCTTGGTCGCCAATTTTTTTCGTGCTTATCTCTTTCGTTCGCGAGACTTTGTGGTGTGAAAGCCCCTCTCCCTCGCCCCACCCCGACCAACCAGCTTTCATATGTTTTGGCTCGCCCTTGTTCTGCGTGTGCCGCCCCGTTTTATGGTTCACCCCCTCTGCTTGTCTCGATTGAATGCTGTCTGTTGGTTCCTTATAACAGTTGCGAACTTGTTCTCCATTCGGAAACCAATTGTCACCAGAATGTATGTGTGCTTGAAGTTGTTTTACGGACTCAGCGGTGCACTGAATGATCACCAATTTTGTTATCCCTGGAATACATCTCGTGCTCTCCACGGAATGGTGGCTGTTGTTTCCGTATGAGAAATGCGAACATATTCGCACTTCGGATGCCGTACATTTGTGATTGAACTGTTGGTTCCATATGAGAAATAAGAACATATTCACACTTTGGCTCCATATACTTTGTGATATTTGGAAAGTCTCCGTGCACTTTGCAATAAGGGATTGTATGATATTTTGTGTTCAATGATTTTTTGAAACGTCTCTGTGTGCTTTGCAATTTGCCCTCAAATGAATTTTCTGCATTGAATGGTTTCTGGTACCTATTCGTGTGTTGTGAGACTTCACCTTTCGAAAAACACTAGGCAACTTGAGATGTTTTCACCTCGATGTTTGCGATGTCTCTGTGTGCTTTGCAATTTGACTTGTGCTTGAAGTTGTTTAACGGATTCAGTGGTGCACTAAATGATTGCCAATTTTGTTATCCCCGGAATACATCTCGTTCTCTCCACTGGATGCAAGCTGTTGTTTCCGTATGAGAAATGCGAACATATTCGCACTTTGGATGTCGTGCATTTGTTATTGAACTGTTGGTTCCATATGGGAAATGAGAACATATTCGCACTTTGGCTCCATGTACTTTGTGATTTTTGGAAAGCCTCTGTGCACTTTGCAATGTGGGATTGTATGATATTTTGCGTTCAATGAATTTTTGAAACGTCTCTGTGTGCTTTGCAATTTGCCCTTGAATGAATTTTCTGCATTGAATGGTTTCTGGAAACTGTTCGTGTACTGTGAGACTTCACCTTTGGAAAAACAGTAGGCAACTTCAGATGTTTTCACCTCGACGTTTGCGATGTCTGTGTGTGATTTGCAATTCGACTTGAGATGTTTTCATCTCGATGTTTGCGATGACAAGAGATACTTGTATGAATGGATATGAATCTTCTACACAGAAAGATTTGATGGCGTTTTCAACCTGTGATATAGAAATGACAAGCCAATGTCCATATTAAATCGTCGCGCTGATGGACTGCTCAACTGCTTCTCCATCAAAGTGCGAGTTCAATCGCACTTCTGGTGTGAGCCCTGAGCAATTCCCTCACACTTTGCTTCACGTCGAGGAGGGGATCGAACGCACCGCTGGTAAGCACCTGCACATCACGAAACAAGAGCACGTCCCAATTGGAACATCGTCGGGTCCTCACCTCATCGACTCTCAAGATGACTACAGTCAACAGCGGTAGGATGGCAGGTCCGCCTATACGATGTGGATCTCATGGTGGAGTGCGAAACTCTGCTCTCGAAGATCCAAACCGGGTAGAAGGTCCTGCAAGCAGCCGCTGCTTGCTTGTAAGGCATCTTATGATGTGTCGATATAACCGACATCCAGAACTGCTTGGTGAGCATCTAGTGCTACGCCAATAAGTTCCAAACACGGCAGCAAAGTCCCCTAAGAGTGTTCTTTGTCGGGTCCTCACCACATCGACTCTCTAAATGACTACAGCCAACAACGGTAGGATGGCAGATCCGCCTACCCGATGTGGATCTCACGGTCGAGTGCGAAGCTCTGCTCTCAAAGATCCGCACCGGGTAGAAGGTCCTGCAAGCAGCCGGTGCTTGTTTGTAAGGCATCTTATGATGTGTCGATAGGACAAACATCTAGAACTGCTTAGTGAGCATCTAGTGCTACATCAATATGTTCCAAACACGGCACCAAAGTCCCTGACAGTGTTCTTTGTCGGGTCCTCACCTCGTCGACTCCCTCAAGATGACTACAGCTGATAGCGGTAGGATGGCAGGTCCAACTATCCGATGTGGATCTCACGGTGGAGTGNCTGATAGCGGTAGGATGGCAGGTCCAACTATCCGATGTGGATCTCACGGTGGAGTGCGAAACTCTGCTCTCAAAGATCCACACCGGGTAGAAGGTCCTGCAAGCAGCCGCTGCTTGCTTTTTAAGCATCTTATAATTTGTCGACATAACTGACATCCAGAACTGCTTTGTGAGCATCTAGTGCTACGCCAATAAGTTTCAAAAACACGGCAGCAAACTCCGCTGAGAGTTTTCTTTGCCGGGTCCTCACCTCATCGAATCCCTCAAGATGACTACAGCTAACAACGGTAGGATGGCAGGTCTACCTATCCGACGTGGATCTCACGGTGGAGTGCGAAACTCTGCTCTCAAAGATCCATACCGGGTAGAAGGTCCTGCAAGCAGCCGCTGCTTGCTTGTAAGGCATCTTATGATGTGTCGATATAACCGACATCCAAAACTGCTTCGTGAGCATCTAGTGCTACGCCAATATGTCTGAACACGACCACAAGGTCCCCTAAGAATGCTTTTGGCATTGGAGTCCTCTGACCGCTGACTGTTTGACACTTCGTAAACGTTGACACTTCTTGAAGGTGGTCTACCACTTCTTAAAGGTGGTCAGTCACCAAACAGATCACGACCTGACATCGACCTCGATAACTGCGAATTGACTCGCTGTTCAACTAGAGTCTCTCTCTCTCTCTCTCTCTCTCTCTCTCTCTCTCTCTCTCTCTCTCTCTCTCTCTCTCTCT